AAAAAAAGCAATAAGGAGTAGCATTTAAGGTGCGAGATCTCTGGTTATGCGATCACCAATGAAATCCTTGATACAGACGTAGAATAATGATTAAAAAAAACGTAGATCTACTAATGGGGACAACTAGTAGTACTAAATATAGATGCCCAGTTTATCGCCAACAAACAGTTGTGCGTAAATAAGGATACTTAAGAAAAGGAAATTCTTTCTTCCGATCAACAACACAGTCACGTTTAGAGTACAGCTTTAGCTATCCTTGCCAAGATCATGGTAATAGGTGAGATAACTGCGTATTCAGTGTGTACATCGCCTACAGACCGGATTATATAAGAGAGAGTACCGTTGGTTCTGGGGAGGTTCCCATTTGTCTCCCATCCGATTGAATGAATCCATTTTCTACTTCTTCATTTCGTAGTTCGTAGTACAAATAAAACCGCTCTTAGCTCACGGACTAACCATTCGCCATTAATATCATAACACGCGAGCAAACAGAGTTGACGACTGAGTTCTTTCTGATCGGTTTGACTCACTGGCACTGCGAAGAGATGTTGCATCTCTTTGCTTAATCTATCGCATCTACTAATTACTAATTCTATATACCATCTGGGTGATTAACAGTCCGCCACTGCGATTTACTAAAAGTTTTCTTCCTTGCACAACTTGCTTGTGGAAGCGACTACCACCAGCAACGGACCGATAGCACTTAGGAACATGTAAGAAAAGAACCGTCTTTTTTAATAGGTCGGCAACGCATCTGCAATTCCCTTGGTGTTGCAGTTGTTCACGGGTCACTTCACTTATCATTAGGTGAGCCACATACTCGTTTGCCTTCTCTTATATAAAAAAATTAAAAATTCCACGTTGGGTTTGACACAAAGACACTTTTCGAACAAATTGTATAACAACTTATTTGTCTGACTTGTTGGTTTAGTGGTCGTCATGCGACAGCTAATCATAAGATTCCAGATTCAAATCTCGAGTTAGGCCAAAATCAGTAAACTTTCCTGCTGAGAAATTCTAAGTAGCAGCTCGGAGTCAAGAAGTAAGCGGTGTTATAATCCGCTGCCTCAGAAGTGCTTTACGAGACACCGGGGAGCACCGTTGGTAAGGCTGTTGGTACTGCGCCTGATTGCACACACACTCGTGCACTAAGTATAATCCTGTCCAGCGCAGATAGGTAGTCTACGTTGAAATTGGTCACCATTGGAATTGTTTAAATTCAGACCAGCGGGAATTATTATTGGGATATTTATAGTTTTATTGTCATACGATATATACTTAATACAATAAATGCAATGATATATAATTATATAAATAGCTGGCATAGGAGACAAAACGGCTGACATTAGGGAGAAAGGGAAAGCCCTACCTAACTACCCTGGGAATAAGACTCCAAAGTTATTTTTTTTTAAATAATTACGTGCACCACCAACATTGTAAACTTTAGTTTGAAAATGAAAACTAGAATGGCTGGGTTACTAAACAGTAATAAAAGTATAAATCACATAAAATACCTTCTTTATTTAATCAATTTTAAATGCGTAATAATTTATTATTATTGTGTGTTAATTATTAACTTCCTTTCGAATACTGCCAAAAATTTCTCATACGAGCAGACTGCATGACAACTGTGGCAAATATGGCAAACGTTAATTTGACAACAGTAATACAACAAAAGGGTCTGCGTTTTGTGATTTTAATGTGTTTATTACAGCACAATATCAGTTTCATAGAATTGTACCAACAATATCACTTATGCTCCTACCTACCTACAGCCTATCAGAACCACTTTTGAACATATGCCTTCCCCATAGATTTGTTTATAAGGGGTATATTTGTCATACTTAACATGTTTGGCTGGCTTTTATTACTCTGAGCTGTTATCAGAAAAATGCAGCTGTTCCCTTTTTCTTATAGCATTGGTTGACAAACGAGCATACAGTCTACCTGATGGAAAGTGGTGTCTGCGGCCTATAGAAATCTATATTTATCCTCAACTAAGGATCAAAATTCAAATGCGTTGTCACCCCTGAGGATTAAGATACAATGCCTCGTTTCCAGTAAAATAGGTCTCCGGTTCTCTACACTCACCATACGAAACACGGCAGCATTACGCTGGTATTTTACGCTGTTATTCTGCGAGAGCGTGGTCCTGCGCCGGTCGAGCCGACGCATTCGTGCTAGAACTATAATGTAGCCGCAGCATGGCTCTACCACGTAAAACCTCTCACGACATAATATGGGGTAGTGAATTCTCGTAGACCGCCTCTACACGGCATAATTATGTTAATGGTGATGATAAACATTATAAACAGGATTAAAGTTTTTGCTCGTGTTAAATGGAGCGATAATTAAATAGAGTTTCTTTCAATTCATCCTGATTGCAGACATCACAATACATCCACAACCGTAAATGAACATAAGCGCTGAGAAAGAACTGGTAACGGCCAGAATTTGAAATCAGTCACAATTTTAGTTACCGGTACAATCTATTAAAGACCACTGCTGAACATAGAACTCACCCATAGATTATATCATAGAGGTTATATTTGCCATTGTTGCCAAGCTTGGCAAGCGGGCTGGCATCCGCAGTTTTTTATTTTTAGTCGTTAGTAGAAAGACGCTGACGCCCATCTCCTGATTTGTTTTCCCCCTGTTACTACTATTATCTAGATGTTAGTGCTGTTAGTCTATGAGACTCTTACATGTTGCCTCTTACGACAATACGGGATAATGTGAGGTAGTAGATATCCTTACACCGCCACTACTCTGTGGTAGAATTTTAGGTAGATAATGAGCATTCGTAAACACTATCTTTAATAATATATATGGGTAATGGATGGGGGATACTCCCAGAGTTAGGAAATTGTGAAGTAATCGCCACCTCTGGTGAATTGACAATCAAAAGAAAATGCCATCCCACAACTTAGCAGCTGCTTTTCATTGTAGTGTTAGTCAGATTATTTTTATCCAACTTCAAAACAGAAGGAGGTTCTCAATTTTTATTTCTATATTTTTATGTATGTTAGGGCATAACTCTGTCATATATAGACGGATTTACAAAATTCTTTTTTTGTTCGGTAGTAGGTTTATGCTGAAATGGTCCCATTTACATTTAGTAAAGATTTATGCCTAGATAAATGCCAGCAAATCAACCGCGATTGCCGCTTTTGCATATATATGGATTGTATACGCAATCACAAAACACAACATCATACCTGAACCCTTGAAAATGGTACGCAGATGTGTTCAGTATATTACGAAACCCATTTATTTCTGTAAAAGTTGTTAAATTGAAATTGGTTGGGACAAATGTTTAATTTTACCACCTGTTAAATCCGTTACCTTCGAATATGCACATTGTAGGCTCAGAACCGTACTTTGTGACATTCCTTGGTTGAGGCCAGAGATGTTACGGTGGTTCGATTCCGATTCCGAAAGTTCGGAACTTCCGATTGATTTTGCACCTTCGATTCCGATTTCGGTTCCGTTAAATTTTAATCGGAAGTCATATCGGAGGTCCATGCGATGGAGCGGCAGCGCGATTAGCGCATACAAATAAATTTATACTTGTCGCGCGGGGAACTCCCGCCGTGCCTTATGTCGATTACTCTTTAATTTGATGTTTTATTTCACATTGGGCGATTGAAATGTTGTGTGTTCACGCTTCATTTATACTTATACGAGTTCTTAATAAGTTTTAATTGTGCTTTATTTGACGTGAGACAAATTTATTTGAATCGGACAATGAAGCCAAAATCAAGTGTTATTTGGAATAATTTCAATGATGTTTCTGGGAGTACGGCAAAGTGTAAACTATGTGAGAAGATAGATATATTCACGAATGGAAGGTACGACTACTTCGTTAAAAAGTCATTTGAAGTCTGTGCGTGCCACTGAATTTGAAGAATTCAAAAAGTTAGAAATTGAAATGAAAAATACAGTGCACCGCACCGTTGAGAAATAGATCGGATGGAGATAAAGCCGAAGCTTTTTTTTAAATATATATTATATATATATATATATATATATTATATATATATATATATATATATATATATATAATTTGCTTCTTTTGGAGTCACTTCATTTGATTTAATTTTTATTATTAACTTTACTGCTAGCACTGTTTAAGATTTAAAATTAGATTGTTTTTATTTTTAGTAGCCAGGGAATAGTTATACAACTAACTGTATTATTTTTTTAGCTCAAAATAAGAATATAGAAACTAGTGAATAATGTGTATAATTTTATTTCATTAGACCTGCCCTTAACACATATCTGTTCTGCCTCCACCTCCGATTCCGGTCCCAATTTCGGTTCCGGTTCCGATAAACAAAATTTAAAAACCGCTTCCGAATTCGGTTCCGATATAACCACTTCCGTAACATCCCTAGTTGAGACCTATATTCAGCTGTGTACTTGTGTAGGGCTAAAATGGTGATGATGATATGTATGAGCTATGTATTATCGCCATCTATCGAATAGAAATAGGGATTGTGGTATTTTCTTTAGTCGACTTAGGACACAGATCATATCAGTGATACAGAGAAGATGATTCAGATCAAAGAGCAATTTTTTCGTATTCTGTGATTAAAATTCTCTTACGCCTCCACCACATGAAGACGAAAGAAGGGTGGTAAACGAGTCCACTTGATGGTAATTGGATGCTGTGGCCCATTGACATCTACGTTTATTTTCGATTAAGAATCAAAATGTAGATGCGTTGTCACCACTGAGAACTAAGGTGAAACGCCCCGTTTCCAGTAAAAAAGGGTCTTTGGATCTCTACACTAACCATACGAAACACAGCAGTATTAAGCTGCTATTTTACGCTTTTACGCGTATTCAAATTTATATATTATGGTGCCTTTATTATCATTTGTAATATTTACAATTGCTTTATTACTTTGTTACAGGTTGCTGGATTAAGACACAATGATTTATTTATAAGGTCATTGCTAGAACACGTCCGATAAATTAAAAACTTAACCATGAAAATGTTAACTTATATAAAAGAATGGTATATAATAGTATGTATTATACAAACTGCGATAGCTAACACAATTAATGCCAATAAAAATGGTAAGTAACGTTCTGGCGTATCTAAATTCTGATAGCCTCTCATCTCAGAGGTACCTCGTTTATAGCCTGGATGGCATTAAAGGCAGCTGAACAAACGCAAACAGGCGCAAACTTGAGGTTTTGAGAGATGATTACATATTTGAGCCACTTACTGTAGACATTATCGGCCCGTGGGATCCACTTGCGGTGAATTTCCTAAAGGAACTGTATTCGTCGTCACTGCTGGTGATAAGAGGGTGAGTGCTTTCTCGCTCAAAGGCTAAGTATAGCCATTCAACTAGGATATGCAGCCAACGATCTTGGCACGATACTGCGGAGAGTAGGACTATATGAAAATTTAATTTTTTATATTCTTTTTATGTTAGTTTTATAATATTGTATATATTGCAAGCAATTTATATGATTCGGCCGTTTACATACGGCGTTGTCAGTTTAAAAACGCTCGCAGTTATGCATTGTGCCGAAGGCAAAATGTATATTGCCGGTTTACTTTATAGTATACCACAACATGTCATCGACAACTGAAACGCCGCATACATAATACCGTGGCAAATTGAAGTCACCTAAAAATGCTGAGATATAAGAATCTGGGTCTCCAAGGACCTTTATTAAAAATTAAGTTCTAGGCAAAAAATTAGGTTCTAGGGAAGCCTTCCCTCATTATGAAAATGTATATATAGTTTAAGAGTAATATTTTTTTTTGTAAATTCTCACGTCGTTACACATGAATATTGACACAATTACATCTACAACGGCTTCGGCGCTGCGGGAAGTGTAGATTCCGCCTGTCGTAGCAAATCACAAGCATCTGTGCGATTTGCTACAGCTCACCTCCGCAGCTTCGGCTTAAGCCTTTGCCCCTACGCCTCGCACAGATGCCTGATTTGCAATGCAAGGCCGAAGGGGCTGTCCTTCCTCCGCACCTACGGCTTTACAAAAACTCTCTGGGGGTAGGGCAGACAAGACTACGTGGAGTCGGGACGTTCTGATTGGGTTTTAGTACAGATTCGACCTATCTTATCTATTATAACCGCTCATTATCAGGCCTGGTAAGTAAGCCAAAGATCAAAGTAACGCAATGAAATCAAATCCAAAACCTAAGCCAAAGACGTCAAAGTCAGTACCTGAATTCTGAAATAAAGTGTGATCTGTGTTTTATCATGGTCACCCTAAATCTACAACCAACGTCGAAATTACAACAATTGAACAGGGTATCATTTTACCTTCGGCATATTACATAACTGCGAGCATTTTTAAACTGACGAAGCCGTATGTAAACGGCGGCATCATACAAATGTTCTGCGACATACGATACAATACAAAATCATAAATCGTATGTTGTTGTATGGCGAATCCGTGATTATCACCGTTTTCATAACACTGCTCCCTAACCTATCTTCGATAATGCCGCCGTAGTCAAAATAGGTCAAAGGGCATCATCATCGTCATTACATTTATAATTTTAAACTACATTGTGTTCTTTGACTTTAAAAAAATATTTTTAATTTAATTATTAAAGGTACATCATTAGATGGAAGTCGACATTCCCGCGTGAGCGGTCGAATAGTGAAGTTACATTCTGAAATCCAGCCAGAGTCAGTTACTTGCATTAGTGAAGGATTTTTAGCAGACCCTACGGATTGTAGAACTTTTTACCGCTGTATCAAAGGATCCAAAGGAAAATATACAATTCTTCGGGTGCGTTTCTTCTATTCTCTTAATTTATTTCTATGTAGATTAATATTTAATATATTGAACTATTTTTAAAATTAATTTCATTATTTATTACAGTTTCAATGCGGTCCGGGGACCGTATATGATCCTGATACTGAAGTGTGTAACCATTCGCATAGTACAAAACGATCCGAATGTAGATCAAGTCGACCTTTTCAATTTATTATTGCACCTGTTGAACAAATAAGCGATAACGACATAGAACCTGCCAAAGAATTGCCATCACCTATTACTGCACGAAAACCATTATACTCTGAGCAAAAACCAAATCAAGTATTGGTTAGTACAACAACAAATTACCCGTCGTTAATGACGGCTGTTGTTCCACAAAATTCTGTTTATGGAGCCTTATCGTCTATTAATCAAGAACATGAAACATTTAAGCCACAAACACAAGAGATTTTAACTACAACGACGAAGTATCCGACATCTAAGTTCTCTGTTGTATCTACGGCCTATCCTTGGACAAGTTTTACTAATCAGTTTTTGGTGACTACAGTTTCTTCCTATTTGAATTCGCAGCACAGCAATGAATGTACATACAATGGATTCATTGGTGACTATGAAGACTGTAGAAAATTTTACAGGTGCGTTAATAATCAAAAGGGAGGTTTTGTTAAATATGAATTTATGTGTAGCGAGTCTACGATATGGGATGATGACACACAAAGCTGCAACCATCCTTGGGCTGTACGACGTCGACGCTGTGCACGTGGTGATTCTATAAACCATACATCTTCGAAATTTGATGAAGATTTTTCACAAATAAACAAAAAAAATTATGAAACGGAATTGGCTGGTTATGATATACAAGCGACACAAGCTCCAGTTACAGCTAGTTCAACATCACGTGTTGCCAGTCAAATAAATTACGAAGACCGCGTTAGCTCTCATGAAGAAATTAGTACTAAGAAAAACAGGATTAAAGAAAATAAAGTCGAATTACAAACCCAATATCCTACTATAGATAAACAAACTGAATATATATCAAGCAACTCAAATCCATTAAGTCAAACTCATTATAACACAAATTTATTGCATCATGTTGACAAAGTTCCAGTTTATCATACAAATTACTCAAAAAATGAAATAGATAATTTTAAATGTAGTGAGTCCGGTTTTGTGAGGGACCCAAATGATTGCAGAAAATTTTATCGATGTATTGAAAATGGCAGAGGTAGCTACACTAAATATGAATTTTCATGCGGAGAAGGAACGGTATGGGACAAAAATATAGAGTCATGCAACCATGTATGGATGGTTAAAGAATGTGGGGGTAAGATAATTTCTAACAGTTCGCCATCAGCGAAACCTTACGATGAAAATGCTTACATCACATCTACGTCAAGTTTTATAAGTGACAATAATGGGTATAATTCTGACGGCTATAACTTGCAAAAAGAAAAAGATAAACAAGAAAATTTAAATCCATCTGTTTTGCAACAAGTAAATGAGACGTTATTGAAGCCTGATGAAGTCACTGTAAGTCAAGTAGTCTGTAGTTCTACTGGATACAAGGGCAGCAAAGTAGATTGTAAAAGGTTTTATCGATGCATAGAAAATAAAAATGGTGGATTTACTAAATTTGAGTATATGTGTGATGAGGGTACCGTTTGGGATCCAGACATAGAGGCGTGTAATCATGCGTGGATAGTAAAAAGTTGTGGCCAGAGCTCCAAAAACAAAACAAAATTTAGTACGCCTAGCACAGAAGCTACCATTATTACAACAATATCATTTATTCAAACAACAATACAGTCAAATGACATTAACAATGAAAATAATATGGGCTTCGGTCCAAATAATTATACTGAGACAACATCAAAAGTAATAACTACTACTAAGATGCCCATAAATATCGAAAACAAATGTGAAAAAAGTGGCTTTATGGCAGATAATTATGACTGTCGAAAATTTTATAGATGCGTTGAAAACGGAAATGGTGGTTTTATTCAATTCGAATATTCGTGTGGTGAAGGAACTGTTTGGGATTCAGAAATCGTAGCGTGTAATCATTATTGGGCAGTTAAAAGCTGCGGATACAATGTATCTAATGAGGTACACGAGAAAATACCTATAAAGCCACCTCCTTCGGACTCTGTTGAAGAGGCTGTTAATATTTATTCTACCGAAACTTATAAAGAGACTATCAGAACCACTCATGGTACATATAGCACTTCTAACTTTAATTCTGCCACAAATAACACAACTGATAGTAATAAGATTAATATATGCAACAATAATGGCTTTATTGGGGATGAGTACGATTGCAAGAAATTTTATAGATGTGTATCTAACGGCGATGGTAGTTATAAACAATATGAATTTTCTTGCGGTGAAGGCACAGTGTGGGATCCTTCAATTGAATCGTGTAATCACGCTTGGGCCGTGAAAAGGTGTGGAGGTAGTTCAAATATACAACAAGAAGCACCAACTCTTAAACCATCAACTACAACGCACACCATGAATGATGATTTTGACAACAGTTATTCAACACACAGTCAAAGTAATTATAATCAGAATCAGAGTACTACGGTTTCATCTACGTATAATACACCAGTCATCGCAGTCAACAAAGAATGTAAAACTGTTGGATTTTTTGCAGACGAAAACGACTGTAAAATATTTTATAGATGCGTAAATAATGAACAAGGTGGGCTTACTCGTTTCGAATTTTCTTGTGGAGAAGGTACAGTTTGGGATCCAAAAATAGGAGCATGTAATCATGCTTCATTAGTTAAGGATTGCGGTATGATGTCAATAACTTCTGATGGAAATGTGGCACAACCAGTAACCACAACTAATTTAGATGTAGATTTTACAACGTCAAGTTATTCACAGAACGAAGCAACAACTACAATTAAAACACCTCACACCAGCAATATCTGTATAGGAGAGGGATTTTATAGTGACTATTCAGACTGTAAAAAGTTTTATAGATGTGTTACTAATCAACAAGGAGGTTTTGACAAATATGAATTTGTTTGTGGGGAAGGTACTATCTGGGATCAAAATATTCAAGCCTGCAATCATGCATCTAACAATAAAAATGACTGCTTAAGACCGTCTGCAACAAATATAACTTCAACAAATAAGCCGACTGTAGCAGCTACGGAACCAAGTAGTACAGTAAATCAACCTTCACCAGATTTAGAAGATCATTCTACACAAATTAATAAAAATTCTACGTCCAGCACGGAGGTAAATTGCTTCGCAGATGGATTTTATCCTAACCCTAAAGATTGTAAGAAATTCTTCCGTTGTGTTAACAATGGCAAAGGCGGATATGAGAAATATGATTTTACTTGTGGAGAAGGAACAATTTGGGTGCAAGTTATTCAAGCTTGCGATCATGAAATTGATACTTTCACATGTAGTACTGAGATGTCTACAGTAAGTGAAATACCTATATTTGTCACAAATATCACAACACCATCTGACATAAGCTCGACGCAAAACGAAAAACCAAGCAAAGATGAGAGCCCAACAGATACCCAAAGTGATTCAAATATTCTACAGAATAATAAATGTCACTCAGAAGGATATTATGCCTCTCCGAACGATTGCCGCAAATTTTACCGTTGCGTAATTAATGACCGAGGCGAATATACAAAATATGAGTACATTTGCGGTGAAGGCACCGCCTGGGACACAGACACACATGCTTGTAATCACATTACAAATGTAAATAGATGTCAAAATACAAATGCACTAGAAGTTCAAGTCACTTCAACAGCGAAATACGAAAAGGAATCTAAGACAACCGATAATATATCTGCACAAAAATCAACAACTTTGGCTCCGGAAACAACATCCAGAAAAGAAAGTCCTTCAAGCAACGATAACTGTAATAACGAGGGTTACTATGGAAAAAAAGAGAACTGTCAAATGTTTTATAGGTGTGTTGACAATGGAAAGGGTGGTTACATTAAGTATGATTATATTTGTGGTGAGGGTACCATATGGGATCAAGACATTTTAGCTTGTAACCATCCAAAAGATGTTACAAATCCTTCATGCGAACAAACTACAGATGGTACGTCTTCAACAAGTACGGTGTCACCTGTTTACTCAACAACAGGCTCTACAAATGTTTCATCAGCAACGTCTTTAGCGCCTACAGAATCTACAATGAGCTCTCATGAAAGTAGCAGCCAAGGATCCGTAAACTGTTCAGGTGAAGAAAATTCTAAAAAACCAGAAAATCAGAATGTGACTTGTACTAAAGCAGGGTATTTTTCTAACCCCAACGATTGCAAAAAATTTTATAGATGTGTTGATTGGGATGGTGATGGTAAGAGATTTTCAGTTTTTAATTTTGAATGCGGTGAAGGTACTATATGGGACCCCGCTCTTGACACTTGTAATTATGAAGAATCGGTATACCCTCCACGTACTTGTGGATCACAATCACAAACGAATAACAGTACTTCTGAAACTTCAACTGTCACTGATAATTATTCTACCAGTGTTTCCATGGAAACAACTCAACAGACACAAGAGTTGACAAGTATTGAATCGACTACAATGCGACAATCCTCTAGTAGTGAAACTACTACTACCCAATCAACTATAACAGAAGTTCAATCTACCACTCCATCGTCTTCAACAAGTAATCATGCATCTTCTACAAGTATGTCACCTACTACTACTGAACAAATTGTAAGTGAACAGCCTACTACGGAGAAAACTACTAGTACATCTGATCAAACTACGACCACTGATCAAATCACAACAACTGCAGGTGAAAAAAGTACAACAGAACAGATAACTACTACAAGTGAAAAAACCACGACTGAACGACAAATGTCGTCTACTGCTGATCAACAAACTTCAACTACAACTGAACAACAAACATCTTCCACAACTGAACAAACTTCTACAGAACAATCGAGTACCCAAACAACTGAAAGTTCCACGGAAAAATCAACGACCAAAGAAGAAACAACTACACTGCAATCTACCACTGTGCAGCAATCAAGTACTGAAGTAACAACTGAAAAAGAAAACTCCTCTCCTACTACTAAAGAGACAACATCTGCAGGTACAAGTGCACCAACAGAGAACTCCTCAGAAACAACTACAGAGGAAAGTTCATCTAACGCTAATAATTGTCCGGATACTGACAGTGATCAATATTTATTCGCATGTCCTACCTCATTTAGAAGGCATCCCAAGTATTGTAATCTTTTCTATCAATGCCTAGAAGATAATAATAATCATGAACTAAAAATTGCAGTATTCAATTGTCCAAATGGCACCATTTATGATGAAAGTAAAATACAGTGTGTTGAGGAAAGCAAAGCAGAAAAGAAATGCCAGGGAAGCATAGCTAAAGATCGTAGATTTAAACGATTGAACGTAAATAACAAAGAGATGGTAAGTGTTGAATCCATAAGCTCGTTTTTAGTTAAATTGATATAAACACTTTTTTAACAATATGCTTTCTAATATTTTTGATATGGGACGCTAGAGTTTAGTAGTGAATATTACTATTATTTATGTGGCATGTAACACTATTTTGCAAGTATAGCTTGCACTTCATTTTTTATCTTTTTGATGTAGGTATAAGTATAATTAGATTGATCATATTAGTTTCTTTATTTTAGATAAGAGTAAGTGGAAATAAATATAAATGTCCAGGAATCGGCCATTTTCCTTTCGAGAAAAGTGAAGAATGTTCTCCTGCCATTTTAAAATGTGAAGTTTCTAAAATTGGAAAATTGCGCGGATTTGTATTTCGCTGTCCTGAAAATTATGTGTATTGGTCAATAAGTAGAAGATGTGAACCTATTTCTAAGATGAAGGAATGCAATCGCTCTCCAAATCAATGGGATGGAAGACCAGAAATTCCAGTAGAAAGAAAAAACGTAGCGTGAATATTACATAAAAAGTGAAATAGTGATATAATATGATTTAATAACACATAAAAATTATACACTTCAAGTATTGTCTGTATTATATACTTGAGTATTTTCTCGACGTGTGTACATAACTTTAATGTTTATAATCTAGTCTGTTATTTGACGACATGCATTAGCATTTCAAACATTTTTATGATAAGTTCAAGGAAATATTCGTACTTGTGATCAAAATATTGCTGGCTATTTTGTTACAAGCAGCAGTGACAATATTTTGAGCACGATTTATTACTCTGTTTCTGATAATGAAGTAGAATGTAAAATGGAAATACAATAAATACCTTATGGTGTAATATTTTATTTTTTTATAAAAAATAAAAATTAACAAAATGTCTATATTAAATACTAAGATTACGTTTAGATTATTAAGACAAAATTACATCGACTGCCTTGCAAGAGGAGATTACTCCTTTACAAAAAACGGTCAACTCTGTGATGATAAAATCTGTAAGTGTTTTTTCCTCATTATGATAAGCCGCATGACTAAGAAAATTTCCGACTAATGCATGACAAGGTGTATTAGAAGCTATTAAGTTACCTTTCAAATCAACTGTTAACTGGGCATCAGTTTCATAATCTTGCGAATTCGACTTTGTTTCGTTATTTTCAAATAAATCTCGATTTTTATTTTTTATGAAAGCAGCGGCAGAATTTCCTTTACTTATTTCATTAGGCTTACTTAAAGGAATGTCAGGCTGATAATTTTTCAAGTTAATTGGAATATTACTTTTTTTATCTGCTTCCACTGATTCTTTTTTTGGCAGTAAATATTGTAAAAACATGGGAAGTAAATGTGGCACTGTTAAATTGTCTAAACTATTTGATTCCGCATCAAAGTTTCTATCACTGATATTGTTAATTTCTCTTTGAATAAGACCGCTTGCTACCAGTGGGTTTTTATTTTTGTAATTTTTAACTCGTGAAGTTAAGTTTAAAATATCAGAAAAAGAGTCATTAGTAAATAAAACTTTTACATCTGTATTGTTAACTATCTCTTTATAAAATTTATCCTCTACTTCCGTTAAGTTGTATTGTAAATTATTGGAAGATCTGTCATCGGTGTCCAAGGCATCTATTATATCACGAATGTTATTTAAGACCTTCTTTGGTCTTCGTAATTCTTTTGTATGCTTTAAATTTTTATTTGTTTTCAGTTCCTGTTTCCTTATATTGAGTAAGTTTTGTATCTTTTCCACATAAAAAGGATAAGGAGATTTTGGTGTGAGAATAATAGGATTGAAAGCTAACCCACCTTTCTCCCATATTGAATACGCTCTGACTAAGAATTCAATAAACTCATTAGACAAACTCTTAGAAATTTTTTGGAGCATAGGATTTTTTAGATATTTATTGAGTGAGACATAACTAATAGCTAGATTACTACGTATAACTTTGTAATCGTTATCAAACGATTTATCACTCCACAACATATTAAGAGCTACATCATTATTAATTTCATCATTAATGTAATCTAATGATTTAATTGTTTCATGTGTAACAACGATGAGATTAAATTTAAATGTTTTATATTTTTTGCACATTATTTCAATATAAGGCAAAAAATCATCTAAGTTGACTTTATCCTCGCTCTTAGTAAAAATATGCATATATATACCGTAAGTTGACAACTTTTCCGATAAAATATTATCTACAGAATTGTAAGAATTTTGTGATTTTAACATTTTCGTATAAGTTGGTGGCAGCATTGAAAATGCAACTACGCTATTATAAACGATTAAAACTATAATGGCGATCATGCCGAGTCCCATCCATAGGTATTTAAACGATGACCACCAGTATTCTGAAATCAGAGAAGAGTCAAAATTTTAATTCAACTTTACGCTTAATAAAACATAATGTGTGCCTGTGTTTTGCCTTTTATTATTCTAGAGCATTACTTTATCAGCATCATCATAATTATCATCATTATAACCTATCACATTTTCAGAACTGAATAAATTAGCTCGACTGGGGTAGGACCACACTCTCACATAATAATAGTGTGAAACAGCAGAATAATGCTGTGTTTCTTATGATGAGTGTAGAGAACGGGAGACCCTTTATACTGGTAACGAGGCATTCCATCTTATTCCACAGAGATGATAACGCATTTATATTTTACTTCTTAATCGAGGATAGATGTAGACGTCTATGAGACGCAGCATCCACTCACGATCAGGTGAACTGTATTTTCGCTTACCAACATATTCTATAAAACGCAACATATCATCTTCGCGACGCGTCATCTTGCCCTACGCCTTTTTGCATTTGAGTGGGTTTCGAACTCTTGATACCACTAGAGTATTTTAGCACGCCTTAAATTTTAACCTAATTGAAGACATCTTTACGTCAGATATAATGGAAGTTTAAGCTACTCAGGCTTTAGTTTGTTTTGCTGAACAAGCATATTATGCATAAGATCTATGATATTACAGTCTATAATCGTTAGCGTGAAAACCAGCATCGATAAATAGATAGATGTATGCGACGAGAACTCCGCAACTTTAATACAGCTCGTATTGAAGAAGCTACTGCAGAATCAAGGCTTCGAAGGTTTGCTAGGAAACTTAAATCTAAAGTCTTGTTGTCACTAATCCAATGACATCATGAATGTAAGTATGATTGAAATAGACAGAACGATGTTAATATTGCAGCTAAACCTTCAAAGTTCATGCAGAACTAATAACTAAAAATCCATCGGATTTCACTCTTCAAAATGGAACAATAGAAGAAGCGTTGCAGTTTTGTTATAGCAATCAATTTATCAATCATATTCAATATAATTGTAAATTCACAACCGCTAATCCCACTTGTACTTGGTACACCGTAAAGCCCGACACCGAACCCAATTTTATACGTGGTAGAGCCATGCTACAGTTATATCAGTAGTATAATTGTAGCACAAATGAGTCGGTTCGACCGGGAAAGGACCAAGCTCTTAAAGAATACCAGCGTAAAATATTAGCTTAATGCTGCTGGGTTTCGTTTGATTAGTGTAGAGAACCGGAGACCCTTTTTACTGTAAACGAGGCATTCCATCTTAGTCCTCACGGGTGAAAACGCATCTGCATTCTGATTTGTAATCGAGGATAGATGTAGATGTCTATGGACCACAGCAACCACTTACCATCAGGTGGACTGAGTGCTCGTTTGTCACCCTATTCTATAAAATAAACCCAAATCCCACAGACTGATAATAGACAGCACATAAATAACTATGGTCTTGTGTTGGCGATGTAAAAGAGTCCATCCCCACATTTCCTTTGGTGACGTAAGAGGTAACTATGGAATGCACCACTAAACCCCATACATCGACTAACCATTCACCTGCCATGCGCGACGGTGATGTCTTATTCTCTTTACAATGCGAGAGGCCTATATTCTGCAGTGGATGTTTACGGGTTGATAATGAAATTGATAAAATTACCACTACAGAAACTATCGCCTCTGTCAAAAGAGTATGAGTAAATCTTTAAACAAATAGTAGTAGTATAGTGAAATCCTGGAAATGTTCATAAAAGTTAAGAATACGAGATCACAACTTATAAATGTTAGCGAATGCTTAACAATATTAATATTAATGGACGAAATTTCAGCCCACGTTCATGTTCAATTATTTAGATGTATACATTTTATAAATATTTTTCTTGATAAGCATTTTTGTAGTAAACCAAAAATCAATGCGCATGTAATTTTTACCAGGCCAGTTCCTTAAAATGGCAGTAACTCCTTTCATTTGAATCTTTGCTCTGCCACTGCAGATCACTGGTCTCATGTGTGGATTTGTCCGAGGACTGTAGTTATCAGGGTTAAATTCGTCATCGGAGAACTCATCGCACAACAAGGGATGTTTTTCTCGATACAATTCACTCATTACTGGCCATTGGTTTCACTGAAACAAAATATATTAAATTTAATGCCACTAGCACTCTACTGTCACAGATTTTACTACGGTAAATGTCCCCTAGGGATATAATTTTTTATAATTTTAATTTTTTTCTGCTCAAAAACGTTACCCCTAACACTATAATTTTCTCCTGTATCGTGGAGGCAGTTTAAAAACATAAATTGCACAAGGACAAAGATCCAGACCTGGAATAATTATATTTGTATGGCCCACAAATATACTTGTTTTGTGCTTTATTCGAAACCGCGTCCTCTAGCGCAGCAACACATTTTTTTTATAGAAGAGGGGGCAAACGAGCATGCGGCTCACCTGATGTTAAGTGACTACCGCCGCCCATGATCAACCGCAACACCAGGGGAATTGCAGGTGCGTTGCCGGCCCTTTAGAAAGGAGTACGCTCTTTTCTTGAAGGTCCCCAGGTCGTATCGGTCCGGAAAATCGCTGGTGGTAAACTATTCCACAGAGAGGTTGTACGCGGAAGAAAACTCCTCTTGAAACGTACAGTGGTGGACCGCCAAGCATCCAGATGATGTGGATGGTATCGCGACGTTTGCCGCGTAATGCGTTCACGAAATTTGGCGGCTGGGATTAATCCGAACAATTCCTCAGAGCACTCTCCATGGTATATGCGAAAGAAAATGCAAAGAGATGCAACATCTCTTCGCAGTGCCAGTGAATCGAGCCGATCGGAAAACACTCGGTCGTCGACGATTCGAGCCGCTCTGCGCTGGATGCGGTCAAGTGGAAGGAGCTGGTACTGGGGAGCCCCAGCCCAGAGATGGGAACAGTATTCCATGTGCGACCGAACCTGCGCCTTGTAAAGTTGCAGGCGGTGTGCCGGCATGAAATACTGTCCCGCTCTGCTGAGCACGCCAAGCTTTTTAGAGGCCAATTTGGCCTCTTTTAACTTCCAAGTGACCACGAAACTGCACGTCACTCGATATGTCGACGTCGAGGATTTCGATACTGGCTGAGGCAACAAGGGGAGTGCCTTGAAACTGAGGAGATGCGACAAAGGGGTTCTTTTTAGAGGTTAACGCGCAAACTTGTGTCTTCTGGGGGTTAAACTGGACTAGATTTAGTCGCCCCCAATCCGAGACTCTGTTCAGCAAAGACTCGACTTCAGACACAAGTTTGTCCCGGCACTCGGAGACGTTTTCCCGAGAAATATTGGCTCGGCCGGTGTAAAGAGCATCACCAGTGCTGTCATCTGCATAGCAATGAATGTTACGGGTTTGCAACATATCATTGATATGCAGAAGAAACAGTGTTGGCGATAGCACGCAGCCTTGTGGAACACCAGCATTAATAGGCTTGCAATCGTAGCTTGCACCGTCTACAACGACCTTGATGCCCCGATCTGCAAGAAAGCTGGTGATCCAATCGCACAATTTCTCGGGAAGCCCATAGGAAGGGAGCTTCGAAAGAAGCGCTTTGTGCCAAACCCGATCGAAGGCCTTCGCAACGTGCAAACTAACGGCCAATGCCTCCCCCTTGGACTCTACTGCCTCCGCCCATCTGTGAGTTAGGTAGACCAGAAGATCACCAGTTGACCGACCACGGCGAAAACCGTATTGGCGGCCACTAATCAGCTGGTGATCCTCAAGGTACCTCATGAGCTGGTAGTTTACAATAGACTCCATTGTTTTGGAGGTGTTTAGGAGGTGATGACGATAGGCCGGTAGTTGGACGGGTCTGAGCGGTCGCCTTTTTTAGGGATCGGGTGGACGAAAGCCGTCTTCCATGATTTTGGGACTACGCCTAGGGAGTAGGAGTGCCGGAAAAGAGGCGTTAAAACCGGTGCCAACTCTGGAGCACATGTCCTTAGCACAATTGGAGGGATTCCGTCAGGCCCACTCGACTTGTGGATGTCCAGGGAGAAGAGTACTTTGCGAATCGAGCGCCGTGTGAACTGCACTTCCGGCATGGAGCACTCACACCGCGGGATGGTCGGCGGCGTACTCCCCCCGTCATCGAGAGTCGAGTTGGATGCAAAGAAAGAGCCTAGAAGATCGGCTTTCTCCTTTGCGGTATGGGCCAGTGAGTCGTCCTCCCTGTGCAGAGATGGAAAAGATGGCTGACAGAAATTCCCCTGGACAGCCTTGGCGAGAGACCAGAATGCACGGGTTCCAGAAGGAAGGCGGTCTAGTTTCTCGCCAATTCTGCCTATGTGCTCTGACTTTGCCTTAGAAATGACTCTTTTGAAGGACCTAGAGGCGGAATTATACTTCTTTTTTAGAGCGCTGGTGTTTACATCCCGGGACGCTGATGCGTCAGCCCAGGCTTGGTAGCACTCCTGTTTATAACATGATGCTATTTTACAGGAGCGACCAAACCATGGCTGAGATTTGCCTCCAATGGGCACCACAGAGGAAGGAATAAAAAGTTCCATACCTTGAAGTACCACATCAGTGACAGAATCCGCAACAACGTTGCGATCGTCCGGCGAGAAGCAAACCCGCCCCCAAGGGAAGGATGCAAAGAAAGACCGCATCCCATCCAATCGGCTGACCTATAGTGCCAAACACGGCGGCAGCCTGCAGATTGCAACTGCGATTTCAGCGTGAGTGGCACCACATTCCGAACAAGACAATGGTCCGAGGATCCTAAAGGGGCGTCAACGGGAATCTGATATCCGTCAGGGTGGGAGGTCAGTAGAAGGTCCAACAGGGAAGGTGCATGATCCTCCACATCTGGAATCCGCGTAGGTGAAGTAACCAGTTGCGTCAGACCATATGCCAAGGCAAAATCATGAACAGATCTCTCCGCATGATCGGTTAAACGTGAACTAAGCCATTCGGCGTGATGGGCGTTAAAGTCGCCGAGGATCACGTTCTCTACGGAGGGGATCTGCTGTAGCAACGAATCTGTAGCCATTTGGACGTGGCCGAAGAGTTGGTCTGTTTCGGCATTACCGCTATGGGACCTATAGAGGCACCCGTAGACGCGCGGATGGTCGTCGTTGTCTACGCGTAGCCAAAGGATGGACAGGTCCGAACCTTCAAGTCTGCCGAGGCGTCGAGAACAGATGTCCTCTCTGACGTAAACGCAAACTCCAGCCCGAGGCACAAAGGAGTGTTCCAGTTTGTACCCCGGGTAGGAGAGATACGAGACATCAGCCGGAGAGGACACCTGCGTCTGGGTCAGAAAGAGCAGAGCCGGCCTCGCCGTCTCGAGATGGTAGTGGACGGCGTTTAGGTTAGAGTGAAGTCCCCTGATATTGCAGAAATTCACGGACAGCGTGGCAGGGGTCGCCTTAGTTTTGTTGCTCCGTTTGCCCCGAGTAGTTGTAGTCTTGAGCAGAATTTAGCTCCCCCGCGGAATACGCGGGGCAGCCTGAGCACCCACGCTCAGAAGTGGAGAAACATGATCGTGGATGCTCAGCGAGGGATTCTCCTGCGGTGCTGGTACCCTCCTGGGGTTGTTGATGGGGGGGGGGATTTTGCCTCCGGCCACCCGCACTCACCAGACGAAACGCGGAAGCAGAGCTTCCACTTCACGCCGGTATTCTGTGAGGTCGTGGTACCACCCCGGTTTGAGCCGGCCCATACGTGCAACAGCAAAGCTGCCGCGTGGCTCTACCACTGTTAAATAATATATAAAATAATATATAAAAAAACATTGCTAAGCCACTGCGCCACGGACCCGTCACTTATTAGTCTTTTAAACACAATTTTTACTTAACATAATTTGTACAGTACTTTTATCAATAAACAAAAAACTAAAAACAACTTGCAATATAGTAAATAGAATGGTGGCCGTAGGTTGAAATTAACCAGGTCTTTTATCAGCAGTGGCAATGATTAATAGAAATAGTTCCTGATTAAGAATTGTGTGTCCACATAAACATATCTTCTACGTATTATGTATGCTAATATCGTATATAGTTATATACTGTCCAAAGAAAATATTATGATTTCCAACTTGATATAAACGATATTATAATTTACAACTAAAATTAAAATTAGAATTTCGTATGAAAACCTATAAATGAAATTTAAAAGTACCTATTGTAATATTGAAATAACTGGCTTTCTTTTGTATTACATACAGAAATTCAAGTAATTTCTTTTCAAAGTTTAATTACATTAAACGGTGCAAGGTCAGGACTATATGGTGGATGCATTAACACTACCCTACCATGCCCTCTCAATTCTTGCTGAGTGGCCAAAGATGTGTGTGGTCTAACGTTATCATGATGAAAGACAACTCCTTTTCTGTTGATCAATTTCGGCCACTTTGTCTTAATTTCTTGCTTGATTTTCATTAGTTGTTAGCAGTAGAGATCCAAGTCGATGGTTTTACCTGGCGGTAAAAGCTCATAATAAACGAAGCCCTTCCAATCGCACCCTACGCACAGCATCGCCTTATTGCATGTTAATCAGAGTTTCGTTACACCCTTTGACTATGATCTTTTTCACACGTTCTTGTTGTAGGTGATCCTCTTTTCATCACCAGTGATCAATCTTTTCAAAATGATCGTTCGATTTCATTACGTTTCAATAGAGAATTGAAAATGAGTACACAATTAATTAGGTTTCTTTCAGTAAGCTCTTGTAGTACCCGAATACCGAGCTTTTTTCAAATGGATCAAAATTGTTTTGTAGTCAATCCTCAATTCCTCAGCTATGTTGTAACTACTAATATGCCGATCTTACTCACTTTTTCAAAAATTTCATCGACTTTATCCGTTTGAGGGCAACTAGAGTGAGTTGCATGTTTGACATTAAAATTCCTGACTGAAAACGACGGAACCAACTTTGTGCTACTCTTACTGACACTGCATTAGGTTCCATAAACTTCACAATTTTTGCGGCTTGAGTCGCATT